TTGGTCTTGGCTGGCTGTTCTTGCTGATCTTCTGGGGTTGGGGCCTGTTGCCGTGGTTCTCAAATGTCTTTGCCGGAGGTGGAATTGCCCTGCCCTTGCTGGTCCGGGCTAAGTAATCTGCTCGGGTTTGCTCTCGGGAGCTTTTGTTCCCTGCAAGCTTTCCGTACAGCTTTGGAGGATGAGAGTGAAAATGGTGGCCTCCAATCTCTGGCCTGGAGGAGCCAAGAACTCGGGGCCCGCTCCTCAGTGCGCCCCCAGAGAAAAGCAGTCAATCACTCCCGTCTCCCCGGTCTCCTCTCCGGCCGCACTCTGTGCTCACCTGGCCTGTGACCGAGCATTTCTATCTCTGGCACACAACCCCATGTGGAATCTCCAAACCCCGCAGATCCCTACGGTGCGCTCCCGTGTTGCTCCTCCCCGGGGGAAGAAGGGGAGTCTCCCCAGATCTGCCTCTTGCTGGGTCCCTGCTGGAGGAGCAGTGGCCCAACTGCCGCGGATCACGGTTTATGGCAAACCCGAGCTGAGAGCCCGCGCCTCGGCTCCGTCTCTGCAGTCGCCTTCCCCACTCCAATACCTGGGAGCTCTGCTGCACTCAGGCACCCCCGGTCTTTCTGTGACCCCAAGGGTCCTGAGACCACACTGTCCCAACGAGTGTTCCACCCCCCACTTAGCCACTGGAACGATGTCCCTCAGTGGAGCCGACCTCTAAAAGTTCCGATTTTGTGCTCCACTGCTCTGTCACTTACCAGAAGCAGCAGACGGAGTCCCCCTCCCCCGCTGTCTATCTTCCTGAATATCGCCTTGGATTCACTTCTCCGCACGTCCTACCTTCCAGAAAGTGGTCGCTTTTCTGTTCAGAGAGGTGCTGCTATTCTTTTCTTCAATCTCCTGTTGAGTTTGTAGGTGTTCAGAATGGTTTGATCCCTACCTGGGTGAATTCCTGGAACCAGACGAAATTTAGGTCTCCTACTCCTCTGCCATCTTGCTCCACAACTTAATTTTTTTTTCACTTTTTTTTTTTTTTTAAGGTTTTATTTATTTGACAGAGAGAAAGACAGCCAGAGAGGGAACACAAGCAGGGGGAGTGGGAGAGGGAGAAGCAGGCTTCCCACAGAGCAGGGAGCCTGATGCTGGGCTTGATCCCAGGACCCTGGGATCATGACCTGAGCCGAAGGCAGACGCTTAACGACTGAGCCACCCAGGCGCCCCCACAACTTAATTTTTTTAACTTAGCTCTATCTCATAGATCTTTCTATGTCACTATAGAAAGATTAATCTCATTCTTTTTACCTGCTATGTAATACTTCATAGTTTGGCTGTATAATTATTTATTTAGTCAATACTGTATTGATCTTACTTTGTTTTTTTAATCAGATTTTAAAATGTATTTTTTTTTAAAGATTTTATTTATTCATTTGAGACAAAGAGACACAGAGAGAGAGAGAGAGAGAGAGAGAGACAGAGAACATGAGCAGGGAGAAGGGCAGAGGGAGAGGGAGAAGCAGACTCCCCGCTGAGCCAGGAGCCTGATGTGGGGCTCGATCCCAGGACCCTGGGATCATGACCTGGGCCGAAGGCAGACAGACGCTTACCCATCTGAGCCACCCAGGTGCCCCTTTCAATCAGATTTTAAAAATTATTATTGAAGTATAATTGACACACAATGTTATATTAGTTTCAGGTATACAGTATTTTGGTTTCACAGTTCTGTATATTACTCAGTGGTCTTCATGATAAGTGTAGTCACCATCTGTCACCATGCAACGTTGTTACAACATTATCGACTATATCCCCTATGCTGTACTTTTCATTTTCATCTCCATGACTTACTTATTTTATAACTGGAAGTTTGTACCACTTAATCCCCTTCACCTATATCACCCATCCCCTCAGCCACCTCTCCTCTGGCAACCACCAGTTTGTTCTCTGTATTTGAAAGTATGGGTTTTTTTGTTTGTTCATTTGTTTTGTTTTTTAGGATTTATTTATTTATTTGAGAGAGCAAGCGCACGAGTGGGAGGGTCAAAGAGGGAGGGAGGGAGAATCTGAAGCAGACTCTATGTGCTGAGCACAAGCCTGACACTGGGCTTGATCTCACAACCCTGACATCACAACCTGAGCTGAAACCAAGAGTCAGTTGCTTAACCTACTGTACCACGCAGGCGCCCCTGTTTTGTTTTTTAGATTTCACATATAAGTGAAGTCATACAGTATTTGCCTTTCTCTGACTGACTTCACTTAGCATAATAACTTCTAGGTCCATCCATGTTGTTGCAAATGGCAAGATTGCATTCTTTTGTAATGGCTGAGTAATATCCCTGCGCACGCATGCGTGTGTGTGTGTGTGTAACACTTTATCTGTTCATCTATCGATGGACACTTGAGTTGCTTCTATTGAGTTGGCTATTGTAAATAATGCTGCAGTAAACATAGGAGTGCATGTATCTTTTCAATTAGTTTTCATTTTCTTTGGATAAATACCAGGTAATGGGAATTACTGGATCATATGGTATTTTCATTTTTAATTTTTTGAGGAACCTCCACACTGTTTTTCACAATGATTGCACCAATTTACATTCCCATCAACAGGGCACAGGTGTTTCCTTTTCTTCATATCCTCATCAATACTTGTTATTTCTTACTGTTTTTGATATTAACCATTCTGACTGGTGTGAGGTAATACCTCACTGTGGTTTTGATTTGCATTTTCCTGATGTTGAGCATTTTTTCATGTGTGTGTGGATCACCTTTATGTCTTGGAAAAATGTCTTTTCAGGTGCTCTGTCCATTTTTCATTTTTCTTTTTTTGTTTTTTTAAAGATTTATTTATATTGGAGAGGGAGCGAGAGAGTGCACAAGTGGGGCAGAGGGTAGGGGCAGTGGGAAAGGGAGAAGCAGACTCCCAGCTGAGCAGGGAGCTCAATGCGGGGCTCAATCCCAGGACTCTGGGGTCATGACCTGAGCCGAAGGCAGATGCTTAACTGACTGAGCCACCCAGGCACTCCCCCTTTTTCCCCCACTCTGTCTATTTTTTAAATCAGATTATTTGGGTATTTGAGTGTTGTGTGAGTTCCTTATATATTTTGGATATTAATCCCTTACCAGTTACGTCATTTGCAAATATCTTCTCCCATTCAGTAGGTTGCTATTTCATTTTATTGATGGTTTCCTTGCTGTGCAAAAGCTTTTTATTTTGGTGTAGTCCCGATAGTTTATTTTTGCTTTTGTTTCCCTTGCCTGTGGAGACATATCCATAAATATGTTGTTAAGGCTGATATCCAAGGGATCACTCTCTATGTTTTCTTTTAGGAGTTTTATGGTTTCAGGTCTCATATTTAGGGGTTTAATCTATTTAGAGTTTGTTTTTGCATATGCTATAAGAAATTGCTCCAGTTTCAATCTTTTGCACATAGCTGTCCAGTTTCTCAATACCATTTATTGAAAAGACAGTCTTCCTCATTGTATATTCTTGCCTACTTTGTCATAGATTAATTGACAGTATAGGCATAGGTTTATTTTCTGTTCCATTGATCTATGTGACTGTTATTGTGCCAGTACCATACTGTCTTGATTACTGTAGTTTTGTAGTATATCTTGACATCTGGGATTGTGATACCTCTAGTTTTTAATTCTTTCTCAAGATTTCTTTGTCTCTTTGAAGTCTTTTGTGATTCTTTAGAATTATTTATTCCAGTTTGGTAAAAACACTTGGTATTTTGACAGGAATTGTATTGACTCTGCAGATTGCTTTGGGCGTATACACATTTTAATAATATTAATTCTTCCAATCCATGAGCATGGTGTATCTTTCCTCTAGTTTGTGTTGTCGTCAGTTTCTTTCATCAGTGTCTTATAATTTTAAGAGTATAGAGGTCTTTCACCACTTTGGTTGAATATTTTCCTAGGTATTTTATTCTTTTTGGTACAGTTGTAAATAGTGATCCCATTGACTTTTGCTGTGATTTCCCCATTATTGCCCCAACATTGTCTTTTTCATTTTTCAGGTCATTTGCTGTAGGAATTATTATGAAACTTAAATCTTCTTGTTACTCTGTTTCATAGAACATCTGTTGTTCCCTGTTGACTACAAGATAAAGAGTTTTCTAACTGTAATTCATTATCACCTGTCATTCTTTCATGTGTTCTCTGTACATTAGCTCCAATAAAATATGCACATACTGTATATTTTTAAAGTGGCTTGACACATGGATTCATTGGGGTTGGAGATGCCTAATAAATAATATTCCTCTTCCCTGCCCTAGTTCAAAACCAAGAATGGAAGGAGGAGGGCTGGGAGGGAAGCACTCAGGAATCAGCTGTCACCTACCTATCTTCTTTCCTTCCTTCCTTTCTTTTTTTTAAGATTTTATTAATTTATTTGAGATAGAGAGCGAGAACGCGAGGCGGGGTGGGGATCAGGGAGGAAGGGCAGAGGGAGAGAGAGAAGAGAGAAGCCGACTCTCCATTGATCAGGAGCCTGACTCGAGGCTCGATCCCAGGACTCTGGGATCATGACCTCAGCTGAAGGCAGACGCTTAACTGACTGAGCCACCCTGGTGCCCTTTACCTTTATTGCTGATAACAGTTTTTAGAGTATGTGGCTTTTGATCCTGTGGGCAAATAGGCTCGCTAATACTTCACCTTGAATTGGACTCATCTACCTCATCCCTTGCACAGCTGGATAACTACAGACTTGCCTCACAGAAAAGCTTTTTACCCTAAAGGTGGAGAGCAAACCAGAATACATCTTTTCTGCAGGCAGACATACCCAGAATGGAAAAGATGGCACTAAGCTGAGTATATACTAAATTTGTGAGAATATAAGGGGATAAGAATTCTTATACACAGTTCTCAGTATTGTCTTTGTGCAGTTTTTAAAATTCAAATTGAGATCCCAGCAAAGTTCAAACATTGCATTTGGAAAGAGTACTTTTATTTGTTTACTGTAAATGGATTTTACCTTCTCTCTCTCTCTTTTTTTTTTTTTTTTTTTTTTGCAGGTTAGAGCAGTCAGAGAGCCTTGAGGAAAACCAACGGAACCTTCTTCAGATGACTGAAAAGTTCTTCCATGCCATCATCAGTTCCTCCTCAGAATTTCCCCCTCAGCTTAGAAGTGTGTGCCACTGTTTATACCAGGTATGCTTAAGCCTAGAGAGCACCATTATTAATCCAAAGCTGAAGTAAAAAGAATGCTTTACTAAAGAGGGATTTAGCTGCTGATAGTGGGTGGTTGAAAATACAGAGTCAGTGTGGATGACTAATACATTAAGAATTGTTGGAGTTGGCTTTGAAAAAACTTAAATATTGCTCAGGAGACAATTTGAAGTATTTTAAGGGAGTACTAAAAATAATAAATTTTCCTTGCATTGGAAGCAAGTTTAAAATACACAGAATCTATTGGGTATAATAGACATGGTTGAAATAAGATATATTATGGAATTTTTTTGGTTATCTTTTGCCTGAATTACTCATAGAGTTTTTCACATGTGAGGCAGCTCTACTCCTTGCTTTTTATACTGTTGAAATGCTTGATTTATAATTTTGATGTCTTCTTAAAGATGTCATGTGTTCTTGTCAGGTTTTCCTAGGACAAACTAATCTGTTTATTTTATATAGAATGCTACTTATAAAATATATTGCATCATCATTCAGATAAAATTATTACACTTTCTAGCGCTAGCACTGCAGTAATGCTTCTGGGTTCAGATGTCCACAGTCATCCCCTGTATATTGAGGAAATTAGGTCTGTGTTCTTTTTATGGCTTTCACTGTGTTTTTGAATTGCATATGTAGTTTCAAGGATGATTTAATCATTCCAGGGGAAATTAGTGCAGATCTATATTAGCCTGTTTAAACTGTGATTCTGGAAGAAACATTAGTGGGTCTGGAGTTTGGGACAGGGGTGGGTACAGGGGAAAGAATTTATGCATTTACCAAAACTCTTGCCTTTGTGTCTTTTTCTTTGCAGAGTCATCCCCAGCCATTTGTTTTTTAGCACAGGGCTTCAGTTGCTTAGAGACATTAGCAAAATCAGTGAAATCACCATTTTAAAAAGCTATTCCAGGCTGCTCTGTGTGAATTATTCCCACATTGCTATTTATAAAGCTGTTTCTGCTGTATCTATTTAAAAAAAAAAGACTTACAACCAGAAAACAGTTAACAAAATGGCAATAGTAAGTCCTTTCCTGTCAATAATTACTTTAAATATAAGTGGATTAAGTTTTCCCGATTGAAAGACATAGAGTGGCTGAATGGATAACAAAACAAGATCCAAAAATATGCTGCATACAAGAGATTCATGTTAGCCCTAAAGACACACATAGACTGAGAGTGAAGGGATGGAAAAAGTAATTTCAAGCAAATGGTAACCAAAAAAAAAAAAAAAGGCAGGGGTAGTTATACTTATTTCAGACCAAATAGATTTTAAACTAAAAATGGTAAAAAGAGACAAAGAAGGTCATTATATAATAATAAAAAGGGATTAATACATCCAGAAGATATAATAGTTAGAAGTATTTATGTGTCCAACATTGGAGCACCTAAATATATAAGCAAAAACTAACAGACCTAAAAGAAGAAATGAATAGTAATACAGTATTGGTTGGGGACTTTAATATCCCACTCTCAACAATGGATAGATCATCCAGACAGAGAATAAGGAAACAGCAGATTTGAACACTTATAGACCAAATGGACCTAACAGACATATATTGACCATTCTGACATCCACAGAATATACATTCTTCTCAAGCATACATGGAACATTTTCTAGGATAGACCATATGTTAGGCCACACAAGTTTTAGCAGATTCAAGAAGATTGAAATCATACCAAGTATCTTATCTGAACACAGTGGTATGAAGCTAGAAATCAATTACATGAGGAAAACTGGAAAATAGGTGAACACATGGAAATTAAATACTACACTGAACAATTAATGGATCAAAGAAGAAATTAAAGGGGAAATAAAAAAGTTTCTTGAGATAAATGAAAATGGGAACACAGTATACCACAACATGTGGGATGCAGCAAAAAGCAGTCTAAAAGGGAAGTTCATACCAATAAACACCTCTGTTAAGAAGCAGGAAAGAGGGCGCCTGGGTGGCTCAGTCGTTAAGCGTCTGCCTTCGGCTCAGGTCATGATCCTGGGGTCCCGGGATCAAGTCCCACATCGGACTCCCTGCTCGGCAGGAAGCCTGCTTCTCCCTCTCCCACTCCCCCTGCTTGTGTTCCTGCTCTCACTATCTCTCTCTGTCAAATAAATAAAATCTTAAAAAAAAAAAGGCAGGAAAGATCCCAAATAAGCAACCTAATTCTCTGCCTTAAGGGATTAGAAAAAGAACAAACTGAGCTCAAAGTTAGCAGAAGAAAGGAAATAATAAAGATTAGAGCAGAAATAAATGAAATAGAAATAACTACAGAACAACAGTAGAAAAGATTAACCAAGCTAAGAGTTGGTTCTTTGAAAAGATAAACAAAATTGACAAACCTTTAGCTAGACTAACCAAGGAAAAGAGAGGAAGGAGCGAAATCAACAAAATTAGAAATGAAAAAGGAGATATCACAACTGATACCACAGAAATTAAAAGGATTATAAGAGGCTACTGTGAACAACTATATGTCAACAAACTGGACAACCTAGAAGAAATGGAAAAATCCTTAGAAACATACAACTTAGATTGAGGAAGAAGTAGAAACTCTGAATAAACCAATTACTATAAAATTCTCCCAATAAAGAAAATCCCAGGACCAGCTGGTTTCACTGGTGAATTTTACCAAACATTTACAGAAAAATGAACACCAATCCTTCTCAAACTCTTACAAAAAGCTGAAGAGGAGGGAACACTCTAAACCCATTTTATGAAGTCAGCATTACCCTGATACCAAAACCAGAAAAGGACACTGCTAGAAAAGAAAACTACAGTCCAGTCAATATCATTGATGAGTATAGCTGCAAAAATTCTCAATAAATTACTAGCAAACTGAATTCAGCAGCATATTAAAATAATCATATACTATGGTCAAGTGGAATTTATCCTTGGGTGCAAGGATGGTTGAACATACACAGATCAATCAATGTGATACATCACATTAATACAATGAAAGAAAATAATCATATGGTCATCTCAATAAATGCAGAAAAAGCGTTTGACAAAATTTAACATCATTTATGATAAAAACTCTTAATAAGTTAGGTGTAGAAGGAACATATGTCAACATAATAAAGGCCATAAATGACAACCATACAACTAATGTACTCAGTGGTAAAAGGTTGAAAACGTTTCCTCTAAGATCAGGAACAAAACAAGGGTGTCTACTCTTATTGCTCCTATTCAACATAATACAAGTACTACCTAGAGCAGTCAGGTAAGAAAAATAAAAAGTATCAGTATTGGAAAGGAAAAACTAAAATTGTCTGTACTTGCAGATGACATAATTTTATATATAGGAAACCCCAAAGACAACCAAAAAGCAGAACTGATCAGTGAACTCAGTAAAGTTGCAGTATACATAATTAACATACAAAAATCAGTAGTACTTCTATACACTAACAATGAAATTTATGAAAAATATCTATCCCATTTACAATAGCATCAAAACAATAAAATGCTTAGGAATAAATTTAAGGAGGTGAAAGATCTCTATGCTGGAACTATGACATTGATGAGAAAAGTTGAAGAAGACACAGATAAATGGGAAAGGTATCCTATGTTCATGGATTGGAAGAATTAATCGTTTAAATATGAATGCTCCCAAAAGCCATCTATAGATTCAGTGCAATCTCTATCAAGTTTTGAATGGCCTTTTTCACAGAAGTAGAAAAAGTACTCCTAAAATTTGTATGGAACCACAAAAGACCCCAAATTGCCAAAGCAGTCCTGAGAAAGAATGAAAGAGGTACCACTTCCTGATTTAAAGCTATAGTCATCAGAACAGTATGTATTGGCATAAAAATGGGCAGACTGACCAGTGGAACAGAATCAAGAGCCCAGAAATAAAGCCAAGCATATATAGTCAACTAATATTTGACAAGCAAGCAAAGAATACTTAATGGAGAAAAGACAGTCTTTTCAATAAATGGTGCTGGGATCACTGAATATTCATATGTAAAAGAATGAAACTGGAACCATCTTACACCCTCACACAGATTAACTCAAAATGGATTAAAGATTTAAATGTAAGACTTGAAACCATGAAACTACTAGAAGAAAACATAGGAATAAAGCTTCTTGGCATGGTTCTTGGTAATGATCTTTTTGGAGGTGACACCTACAGCACAACAAACTCAAAAATAAATGAGACCAGATTAAACTCGAAAGCTTCTGCACAGTAAGCACACCATCAACAAAGTGAAAAGACAACCTATGGAGTGGGAAAAATATTTGCAAACCATATATCTAATAAGTTAATATTAAAAATATATTAAAAACTTACACAATTTTCAGTACAAAAAAACAAAAAACACCACCCCAATTTAAAATGGGCAGTGGACACTTGTGAATAGACATTTTTCTGAGGAAGTTACATGAAAGGCCAAAAGCTACATGGAAAGATGCTCAACATCACTAATCATTAGGGAAATGCAGATTAAAACCACAGTGAGATAGCACCTTACACCTGTTAGAATGGCCATCATCAAAAAAACCAGAGATAACAAATGCTGACATGGATAGAGAAAGATGGGAACCCTTGTGCACTGTTGGTGTAGTTGGTAGTTGGTAAGCTAATATGGAAAATCCTCAAAAAATAAAAAATAGAACTACCATATCATTCAGCAATTCCAGTTCTGGGGATATATTGAAATGAAAATACTAACTCGAAAAGATATCTGCACCTCCAGGTTCATAGCAGCATTACTTAGAATAGCCAAGACATGGAAACAACCCAAGTGTCCATCAACAGATGCATGGATTAAAAGAACTGTGGGTATATGGACAATGGAATATTAATCAGCCATACAAAATGAGGAAATCTTACCATTTGTGACCATGTACATGGCCCTTGAAGGTATTATGCTAAGTGAAATAAGTCAGAGACAAATACTGTATGATTTCACTTATATGTGGAATCTTAAAAACAAAACAAATCTCATGGAAAAAGAGATCAGACTTGTAGTTATCAGAGGTGAAGTTTGG